CCTATACCTGAAGGACAAGGTATGGGAAGTAAAGTGGCAGGATTTAAGGGGGGGCACGGAAGAAAGGTGATGTCAGGGTTTTCGAGGAAGGAGGTGAGAAGGGACAAAACCCTGGACGGAGGGAGGGATTGAAGTCCCTTGTATTTCAGGAGATCCTTTAAGTGGTGGGGGGAAAGGATAGTTAATGGTGCCCCGAAAGTTAATTTGTATGCCTCCTTTTGTAAGAGCTGTCCGGTGGCTAGGGCCCTTATGCAGGGTGCCCATCCACGGACGGTGGGATCTAACTGCTTAGAAAGGTATGCTACGGGAGCAAAGGTGGGTCCATAATTTTGTCCCAACACCCCAAGTGCCTGTCTGCCCTTCTCATGGACATACAAGAAGAAAGGTTTAGAGAGATCAGAGAGATGAAGTGCCAGCGCCTGTACAAGGGTCTGTTGCAATTTTAAAAAGGGATGGCGGGGGAGAGGGGAGTAGGGGTTCATCAGGGGGATCCTTAGTTAGGTTATACAGAGGTCTGGCCAGGAGGGAATAATTTGGGACCCAGGCTCTGAAGTATCCAGCTAATCCCCAAAATGACAATATTTCAGCCTTTGTTTGGGGGATGGGAAGGTCCATGAGAAGTTGTTTTCTGTTAAGCATAATTGACTTTTTCCCTGGGGAAAGGGTGTTGAAAGGCGAGTGAGTGGGCCGGAGATGGCCCTTTTTTGTAAATTCCTGAATGGTGGGGCAAAGGCCAAGAAGGGCTGTGGTGGTCAGGGGATACTGGGCCTGGCATATAAACTTAGTGGGGTCCTTAAGCCTAATGTGTATTGGAGAACACTTTGCAGTGGAGGGGCTTGACGTGTCCCAGACAACTGTGTTGACAGGCTCAGTTAATGTTGGAAAAGGAGGCCGTGAGTCCGAGTCGTCGGCCAGGAGTGCTATAAAAAACTGTGTGGTAGGCGAGGCATGGGAGGTGATGCTGATCGTAACCCTGAGAAGGGAGAGAATATCTCTTCCCAGTAGAGGGATGGGACATTGGGGCATGACAAGGAAGGAGTGTGAGAAGGGTGTGGAAACATCTTGCATGGTGCATGTTAACAGGGGGGTTTTAAGAGGGAAAATATGTTTACCTCCTACCCCGACAATAGGAGAGGTAGAAGGTGTAGTTGGGCCCCAGAACTCCCTCAGGACCAAAAAAGTGGCTCCGGTGTCTAAGAGGAAGGAAATGGGGCACCCGTCCACCACAAGCCGCACCCTGGGTTCCTGTGTCGTGATGGTCATGGTCGGGAACAGAGACCCATGGCCCCATCAATCTTCTGCTAGTCCCAACAGGTCGGGCTTAGATTGTGGGGTGATTGGCCCCTCTCCCCTTTGGGTGGCAGGGCAATCAGATCCCCAGTGGCCCCTTTTGTGGCCTTCGGGACAGGGAGTGGTTGGAGACCGAGGAGAGGGGCAGGCTTTTGCCCAATGTCCCTCTTTTCCGCATTTAAAGCAGGTTCCAGGGAGCGGCTTATGGGTTTGTGGGCGCCTGGGTTATGGCTGTCCTTGGATTATTTGTGCGAGCATCTGAAAATTTGCCTGATCAGCTCTCTGCTTGCGGCGTTCCTTTTCCTCCTCTCTATTATGAAAAACCTTAAAACCCACCATAATAATTTCAGTCTGAGGAGTAGCAGGCCCCTGCTCTAGCTTTTTTAATTTAGCCCTAATGTCAGGGTAGCTCTGGGCTAGGAAATAGGTCATTAAAACATGACAACCATCTGGGGTTTCTGGGTCTAGATTGGTATATTGTCGAAGGGCCTTGGTTAACCTGTCTAAAAATTCAGAAGGGGTTTCTTCCTTTTTCTGTATTACTTCCTGCACCTTTTGGAAATTTACAACTTTTTGAGCAGCCCATTTGAGGCCAGCTACAAGGCAGGAAGCAAAAACATCATGGGAATTTATGCCAATAGGGGTGTTATAATCCCATTGGGGATTGTGTTCTGGAACTGCATTGGGACCTGTAGGGTGGTTAGGATTAGTCCTGTGTGTTTCATCTGCATGGGCTCAGGCCAATTCCCATACATGCCTTTGCTCCTCAGGAAGGAGAGTGTTAGCTGTCAACACGTATATGTCATGGTGTGTGAGACTGTAAGCCTGCAGGATCCACTGAAACTCCCTAACATAGGTGGTGGGGTCAGTGGTAAAGGAGCCCAGTTTCTTCTCTAATTGTGTGAGATCAGAGATGGAAAAAGGTATGTGAACTCTGATTACCCCTTCTGGACCAGCCACCTCTCAAAGCTGGTGCAATAGTGGGAGGGACTGGAGGGAGCCCCTGTGATCTAGTCCGTGGAGGACTAAAAGGTTTTGCGGGAGGACGGGAAACTGGGGGCAGAGATGGAAAAGGAGAGGTCAAGAAGGGGTGGAGACTTACAGGCCAGGAGGACTTGGGAGGGAGAGCAGATCTCCTTCCACTTTTTGAGGCGCTGGCAGTAGTTAAAAAGGTCGCAAAGGAGGTCTGGGTCTAGGGATCCCTCAAAAGGCCAATGGTTTTGGTTGTCCAGGGGGTACTGGGGCCAATCTTGAGTGCAAAATCTGATCAAGAGCTTTGGCTTAATATCTGGTGTAAGGGAGAGTACAGTAAGGTTTCTGAGTAAGCATTTGAGGGGTGAGGTTTCCGGAAGGGATGAGGAGGCTCCCATTGTGAAGTGGACAGAGATAAGGAAATCAAGAGGAAGAGAAAAAGAGAAAACGAGGAAATGAATCCCTGGGCCGGAAGTGGGTCAGCAAAATCCAGGAGGCGTCCCCCGAGGAGTTTGTGAGCCACGGAAGTTCTATAGGAACCAGATTAGGAAGACAGTGAGGTTCATCACCCACACTTCAAGCTCCCGGCAGGCACAGTGCCGGAGGCCACGAGGAACCCAGTACTAGGATTTTTGGAACCTGTTTTAGCGTCCAGAGAGAGAGAGAGAGAGAGAGAGAGAGAAGCAGAAAGGAGCCTCTACCCTGAACCCTCATGCTCAAAGGCTCCTGGAGAGAAGGGAGTGGATAGCCGGAGGGTCCGTCACGACCGTAAAGGTCTTAATGGGGTGTAACTTTACACCTCTTAAGGGCGTTGGAGTCTAGTTGGTTGATAACTGCTCCTCTGTAGACCAGAGGAGGGTGGCAGCCTTATAAGGGTGACTTACCTAAAGATGGAAGTGGTGGTGAGTGCAAAGAGCCAGCGCCCAAAAAGGTGGACAAGGGCGAGCCGCCTTGGTTGAGATGGAGACGGGGTCCACAGTGGACAATCCTGTCCTGGGTTTCGGCACCAATGAAAGGAATAAAATTCAGCACCAGATAAAGGATGAGACACAAATGCAAGGCAGCTCGCTGGAGAAGGTTTTTTATTCAGCGGGCACATCTGCTTTTATAGGGTTAGAAGAGAGCTGATAGGTTTGCTGAGGACACGGGACGTTCAAGGATTGGATGGATTGAGTTACTAAGGGGCCAGGAGCAGGGAGCCTGTGCTGATTGGCGTGCGATTTGCACCAGCGGGAAGGAGAAGGTGGAAGAGAAGGGTAGCCAGCGCCATGATGGGGTGCGGCCGAAAAAGGGTTCTCATACAACCTAATACCCTGAACAGTTATCAGGACAAGGGCTCAAAGTAACCTTATCTAAGACATGGTGAGCCTCTTTCCACAACTGGCTGATCAATGAGCATTTAAAAAAGATTGAGCAAGAGCCTGCTCTTTTCTAGGCATTCCTTCTACCACAGCTTACTATGTACACAGTGACAGCCACTGTGTTGGGCACTGGGTAGGACACCACTATGAACAAGATCAATCCCTGCCATTGGGGAGTATGAAGTTGATGGAGGAGATGGGTAATGACAATTCCAAGAATTCCAAGTCCACAGAACAGCTTTCAGGCAGGCAATGAGTAACTCCATATGAAACATTTGGAACTCAGCACATAAGACATGAAGAAGCAGGGAGGCCAATTGGCAGACTTTTATAATTGTCCTAATCAGACATCATAAAGCCTGAACCAGGAGAATAGGTAGGAAATGGCAAGACTGAGACAGCAATAAGGGATGATAGAATTTCAACCAGAAAAACTAGAAATCCTATTACAGCCCTATCAGCTCTTCTACCCACAAAAGCATCAGACCTTTAAGCACATGCAGTAACTCCTTCCATCAGGCTAGGGGATCTATCACAGCCCCCAAATTTAATAAATCTAGGGGGGTAGGAAAAGAGACCAGAAGGGAAGGGGGACAGAAGGGCTATTTTCACCCAGAGACCCATGATGGGCATCCTGCACCTGTTTCCTAGCCAGTTAATTGCCTCCGCTCCTCTTTTATCTCTACTGTCAATGTGTCCCCAGTTGGTAGCTTGGAGACCCCAGTGAGGTCACATGTTCTTCTTTGGCTTAGAAGAAGACCCAGTAAGTGAGACTAATAAGTACAGCACAATCCCTTAATCAGAGAACTTGGGCTTTTACATCCATACTGTAAATCTGGTTTTCAATACCCCTGTTGACAGCTATGGTCCACTAACGCCTGCCATTTCTCTCTTTTTAAGATACACTCCCCATCTCCCCCCTGCTCCCTTATCCCTACAAAATCTTGAACATATTCAGACTTCACTCAATTTTCAATTGTGTATATAAGTATGTGTGTACTAGGGGTGAGGAGACTGAGAAAAGACTCAAGAATATTAGAAGAGAAAGGGAATCACTAGTGGGGAACCCTGAGCATTTTCTGATTGTTAAAACTACCTCCTTCCACTGGAGAAACTATTTTAGAAATTTTATGCTTGGCTGTCTTAATTGCGAACTTTAGCTTCTGTAACCTAGCTTGCTTCCTGCACCCATGCAAATTAGGCTCCAAACTGACCAATGAGCTATATTTCATAGCCAACCAATCTGGACTAACAGACTTGCATCCCTTATTTGCATAAGGGGACCTAAATGAGAACTTGGGTGGGAAGTTTTTGGCTATATAAGGTGGGCCTTTTCCCTCATTCAGGGAGACAGCCTAATGCTCATGCTCTCCTTGCTTGCAAGCAATGAAGCGCTGTAACACCAAAAAGAGCTGTCAACTATTAAAAGAGCTATACAACCAACATTTGTCTTGGATTCCTCTGTGTGAGCACCTCACATCACCACCAAAAGATCAAAGGTCAGGCAGTTGGAAATAAACCACAGCACAGCTACATTTCTTCTAGCTCTCTAAACACATTTAGAAATGAGTGTATCAGATGAAAACGCATTTTTTACATTCTCACTATAACTGAAGTTAAACATGACGTACTGGCAGTGAGCTTCACTTCATTATAAGAAAGGGGAAAATTGGCAAATTGGGAGTGAAGGAGTTAAATGTGTCTGTTTCTCAGGGGTCAGAGGCCTTAGCTCCACTACTGCTCATTTTCTGAAGAAGACTCAAAGATTCCAGAGTGCCTGCATTTCCCACCCGGGCACAATTTCATTAGCAGCTCATTAGCAGGAGTGCTGGGATCATTTCTGACTCTTGTTTTTCATATTTATTTGTTAACTGACACTTTGAACACAGGTTGACTAAGAACCAAATGAAAGTGCTAAAACCTCTCATTACTCAAATTTAAAACACATTGTATTCTACTTTTTTTTTTTTTTTGTCTTTTTTACTGACTGGTAACGGGATCACAACCCTCGGTGTCACGCCCATACTGGGGACCGGCAACAGGATCGCAACCCTCGGTGTTGCACCCGCACCGCGCTCAGCCAGTGAACGGGAACCGGTCTCCACATGGGATCCGAACCCTCGGCGGGAGCGCCGCCGCGCTCCCAAGCGGCGCACTCTCCAGTACGCCACCGGGCCGGCCCAAACACATTGTATTCTAAATATATCCTTTGTTCTCATTTATTTTCCTCAAACAGAAATCATAATTTAATAAAAGGTTTAAAAAAGCAAAGTGCTAAGACATGATGCTTTATTCCTTAATTCCTTTTTTCCTCACCCCATCAGCCCCAGAGATCCTGACATCACAATTGGCTATTTGTTCTCTTTTACAGCACCTGTTACCTCCATGGCCAAACATGGTTCTATGAATTATTTCAAACCAGTATCAGCTACTCCTGAGCTCTACAATTTCTCCAGTGCTGCAAAAGCCTCTCAGCTTGGATGCTCCCAGCATTGGAAAGAAGAAATCCATAGGGATGACTAGAGCAAAATTCCTAAGGTAGAATTTCTCTCTAGACCAGCTCTAAAGAATGAGACTCTACAATCTCTTTGAGGGGGTGGGCGGGGAGACGAAATGCAAATCAGAATGGGAAAAGAGGCA